AAATAAAAAAAACCATTGATTCATACTCCGCTGGAGAGAAGAGCACCAGGCTCTCCTTTGGGAGCCCCAAATCAGGCTCCCCAAGGGGAGCACCAGTGCTCCCTTAGGGAGACCGATCGGGGCTCCCGGGAGCTCCGGTGCTTTTCATTTTGAGAGTTTTTTTAATTAATAAAAATAATATATTTATATAATAATAATTTTAAAAATTAATTAAAAATAAAATTATTTTTTTTATTTTTACCATGTCAGTAAATTTATGAAAATATTATTTATTGAGTAACGGTTAAATTTACGTGTACGAAAAATATTTTATAAATGAAATGTTTATTTAAAAAATTAATAAATTTTTATAAAATTTTAATTAAAATTTAAAAAAGTAAAAATATTTCACCCTAATAAAAACCTTGGATTTCTTTCAAGTTTTGCAATACAACAAACCGCTAATTAATATAATGAGGAGAGAGATTAATTATTCTATAATTAATTAGCAGAGCATCAAACTGTAGACCGAGAGGGCCTTGGGTTCAGGTCACCTACCATTGCTTTATTCGCCATTAACCTTTTTCTAGCCATTTGCAAACAATTTTAATTGATCATTAAGCGGAATGCATTCCTTTTTTTTTTTTTTGTCTGCTGGCTAACTTGGTTTTTAGCCTATTAATTACTAGCTTATTAGGAAATTGATTCTCCTGGTACTTGAGAACAAATTTTAAATTGGTATAATTATATATTGCAACAACTTGTATCATGCAAACAGCAAGGATTTATAATTTTCATTATGTAAACGATTATGCTGAGGTACGCAAAAAGTATATAGTGTTAAAATTGCAAATGGAGACGAACATACTTACATAGTTATGGTCAGAGGCGAAGGGAGAGGAACTAGCAAAGCCTCCGCTCCTTCAAAGATTCAAAAATTCATATATTTTTTAAATATCTATAATTTTATTTTTAATTTTTTAAAAATTTTATAATTTTGTTTTTTTAAATATTGAATTTTTTTGTTTGTCTTCTCAAATTTGAAATCCTTATTCCATCACTGGTTATGGTAATTTAAGATTTAAAATTGCAACTTTAACACCAAATTCAGGACTTAAATTTATGTAAAATAGTAATGTTGCAATTAACTCATTGAGTCATTGTCACAATGAAATGCTAATGGGATATGTTTCCCCATCGTAGCTAGGATATATAGGCTTTAGAATCAAGGTATAATTCCACCTGGCTTCTAGCAGAAATTTCAGCAATTACTTGTGCTAAGCTGAATGCAATCTTGATACAGTCATTGCAGCTATAGTGTCACAATATTTACGGTAGAAGCTTGATTAATCTTATTTCTTCCTTAATTTTCTCCCTTTTCGTTTTTTTAAAGTAATTTTAGCCTGAGAAGAAAAGCTTTTCTTGGCTTGCAAAGTACATAATCAAGGATAGAACGCGTCTAGCCTGTTCGTCTACTGGGCAATCTCTCAATATTTGATTAGGGAAGAGAGAGAGAGCATATTCTTTGTCACCAATTGCGAAAAACCGAGGCTATGTTGGCTGGGTTTTCAAAAGAAAACTCAGCAGATATCAAGAGAGAGAAGGCAGAAGAATGCATGAAATAAAGAAAGAAGAAAGACTGCTGTGGTCATCACATCCCGACAATCATGCCGCTATGACTACGTCATGGCCTATGCCCCAGTCTTTGGTCTTTTTGTTTCTTGACTTTTGTGCCCTTTAGAACAACCCAAAAACAAAGCCCCCCACAAAAGGTGCATTGAGTTGGGCATTTCATTGTCCTAATTTGCGACAGAGAGAGTGAGAGAGGGGAGCAATGATAAACTTTTTCTCTCTTGTTTGGTTCTCTGCTGCCCTTTTTACGAAACATGCATGGGTTTGGCTTGGACTGGCTCAGGTGTTCATTTTCCTGCAAAGGCAAACACTGTCAAGTACCTTTCTTGGATTTTTGCTTTTCAGAACTGCAGCTAGCTATAGCTCTATCTTGAAAAGATATCTCCATGACAGGAGAAAAATTAAACAAGAAAAATGTTGAAGAGACAAGTTGATTACCACTACTCTTTTGCAAGAAATTATAGCATTTATTAATAACAACGTCGAGCCAATGCATAATCAAAAAGGCCTCCATCCTTTGGCCAAAAGAAAATGTGAATTTAAGGTAACCACTTGCAATTATATCTAATGTGATAAACTTCTTTGGAGTTTAAATATAGTACTATATATATGTATTAACCGAATGAATAAACGCGTAAATTTATTACTTTTCAAGTCAAATCCTGTACCAGTAAGCTCAAATCATGTAGCAAATATGGCTGTGTAATAACAAAAACTTTTGTTTTTTTTGTCTGTTCTAGCCCAACTTGATCGATTTGCATGTGGGCAAAGCTTTCCTATTACTATGAGCATCAACCCCGCCAAACATGCAACTCCGCGTGTGTCCGTGTGTTTTTCAGTTCACGTGTTAAGACTTAATTATAATACTAAGTAAAGGTAAATTTCTTTCCTTTTTTTTTAGAAGCATTGACATTGAGAATCACTGGCATTTTGTTGCCAATCTGCTGTTGGTTGCAAGACACTTTCTCATTTTCTTCATAAATAATGAAGAATGAAGATGGTCTTTGAACTCTCCAATCCTTGTATGCTAAATTTATATATATAACCTTTTGAATGCTTTTGTAACTGTACACAGTAGTAGTAAAATATCCATTCTAACAAAACACAAATCCTTTGCAGATTTCAGATCTTGACACTAGTGTTTTGCTATGTTAAAGATAACATCACCTATGGTGGTTAAGAAAAAAAAAAACGATGACACCACCTGTGTATATCCTCCTCGTTTTTCTCTTCCTCTAACACCGCAAAGACAATTTGGGTATTGAATGCTCTAATTCTTCTTCTTTCATACTATTCATCACTACCATTAGATTCTTAAAGAAAGACAGGAAGGTGCCGGGTTTAATGCATACATATAAAACGTGACTGTGGCTGCTGCATGCAGTTGTGGTGACTCACGTTCTTCATTCGACCCAAAAAGAGTCTAATTTCTCAGTTCCAATCAATCACTCATCATTTTATCAAGCACCAATTATTTTAAGAAGGTGTTGCTTGATCCATCCATCTCTGATTTTTTGAGCTCTTGATGAGTGAAACCCATCTTCACGTGATTATTCATAAAGTGTCAGTACTGATTAACAAACACAATTACTAGACATGATAGTGGGGTTCAGTATTATCTGAATGATTAGATCCATTATAAGTAAAACAGTGTATAATTGTATGCGATCGCGACTCATCATGTGAATTTTTTTGAAGTAACAAATTTGTAATTAATCAACTGTATCCTTGTAACTACCTTCATTCCTAGTAAACTCCCATTTCGACATAGAATGTCTCTCAAACCATACTACCGAACTCCTGTTGATGTGGTGAATAAGCTATCTCTCATGCAATCATGATGGGCTCGACAGAAATTTACTGCTCCTTATTCGGCACAGTACTTTTCTAGTATGTGAAAGATCAGATCAGACCACTTACAGAAACCTTGGTGCGGGCTTGCCAACTTGCTCTGCTTATTGCTTGGATCATACTCTTCTACGTACTTTCATGACTAGCAAGCAGTAGCAGAGATTTGACCTAGTAAGGTTAACTTGTCTGGTTTGCTTGGACTTAGCATAAATATCCAATCAGTTCTTCCTAGCCGCACAGGTTTTTATTGCATATCTGCATCAGCCCCGGACAAGTACAAGCAATTCATCTGCAATGATCAAAACTATGGCTGATCAACAAAGCCAGCAGCATCCACCAAGCTGGATGATCATCATGTTTTGGAAGCAATTGATGGAGCTACAATTTATGTGGGGGATACCAGATATATGCTGCCCAAATTGAGCATTAGATGAAACACTACTTTATTATATCCCCATCAGAAAGATTGTCTTTTGGTTTTAAAAGTATTCATAAATGCTCAGGTGAATTCTCCAAAATTGGTAACCAGCTGTCGTTTCGATTGGCTTCTTCTTTATGCCTAAGGAGTTGCAAAAAAATATTGGTCCTGTCATTTTCATTTCTCTTCTTATTCAAATTGTTGGTTCCCTCTAAAATTGTAAGCTAAAACTATGGGCGCTAGGATCCATTATTTGATGAAAGAGCTTCAGTTGGAATCATAACCTGGAGACTGGACCCATCTTTGTTTGAGGTTTGTCGTCAATTGTTGCCATTAATTTAGATTAATCTTGTTGAGACAGATTGTGGAGTTCTTGATTAGCTTAATTATAATTAGTAATAATTAATTAATGATTTGTTTTAATATTTTTCATTGTCATCCTACTGTTAATTAGCATCTAAAGAAATCTCCAAGTTTGAAGAAAAAGAAAGAGAGGAACATAGGAGAGCTAGTGACTGTCAATTATATTGGACCGACTTTTCCTTGTGACACAACAGCAATACTTAATTCAAATCATATACCTCATTAACAAACTTAAGTATCTCATATCTTTGAAGCATAAGAACTAATAAAATTAAATTTAGTTAGATGATGTCATTTAATATTTATCAACTTAGGAATCATTGTAAGTACCAGATTAAAATTAAATGTTTTTGATTCGCTTATATGCCTCTATAACAATATACTAGTATAACATGACTATGATGGAACAAATAAAATTGTTTTCCTACCGGTAGATTCTCACAATCTTAAATCAAATTAAAACTCTTTTGGGGCCTTGTGTATGGTTTAGTTGAAATATTGTGACCCTCTTGCAATATTTGTAGGTCAAGACTAACACTTACAGCGGTCCTAGCCCATAACTTTCACGGGCTCGAGGTCCGGGCGAATGGTCACAGCCTGAACAATTAAATGGGCCAAAATACTAGTCTGGACTCTACAAATTGGCATGTTCATGTGTTTTTTTTTTAATCTCCCTTATATCTCTGTTCATGAACAAAGAATAATGCTGTGATATATGCAGTAAAAATTGTCTAAAGATCTTGGTATAATTTTCTTATTCCTTCCATATGAGAGCAAAGAAAAGAAAAGAGAATAGAAGAGAAGATTTCATCTCTTAAAACTAAAAGGGAAAAAAAGATAGTTGGCTACAAATTTATAGGTGATAGATGAGATAGCATATATCCTGTGAGATGTGTCAACATCAAATTAAATCTGGGTAGGGAGTCCCCTTTAGAGGGAGAGAGTGAGAGACATGCAAAGAGAGCCCACCCCATATGATTTGGTGTCTAAAAGGTCGGTTGGATAAAAGGCTCCTTTTGCCTTCAATTCTTCCATTATTCAAATCTTTCTTCATGCCACTATTAATTTGGCATAAGTGAAATATGATACACTCTCTGTCTCTGTCTCTCTCTCTCTCTCTCTCTGTCTCTCTCTCTCTCTCTCTATATATATATATATATATATATATAT